GCCCCCAACAACAATCCGGGTCCTCATTTCACCCACCTCGGAAGGATGGAAGGCTGAGTCAACCCTGAGCCGGTGAGATTTGAACCGCCAAACTGCCGAACTAGCAGTCAGCTGAAGTAGCCTGCAGTGCTGCACTCTAACCACTGAGCCACCTCTGCTCTGGCAGTGGTTGGCAGCCACTGGACTAGAGTGGTTATCTGTGGTGCCTGAAAGCTCTCCGAAATTGGAAAGCGTGTCCGTGTGAGACCCCTGCTTCCAGGCATTAAAAAAAATAAATCACACATTGAAGGAAATATTTGGTAAAGGTGGGAATGAAGCTGCTGCAAAGGCTGTTTTGAGTGGGAACGGAATGTCCAAGGAGGAGCAAGGGAATCCAGAGAGAAAGGTGGCTCTGAGGTGGACCATTCACATTCCGAGAGATGTCAAGAGCCCTCTAGATATGTGTGAATCAGCGGAGAAGGAGAGGAGGCCAAACATATTTGCAGGGTGGATGGATTGTGAAGCTTCTGAAGCCCAGGGATTTTGTCCAAGGACCAAGGACCACCCAGATACTGAGTTATACTACAACTCGGAACATCCCCTCAACATTAGCCCGGCTCGCTGTGAGTTGAAGTTCTGGAAAAGTTAACTGGTTCTGCACTCTGAAGTTAGAGAGGAGGAGGAGGAGGGGAAAAAAGGAGAAAGGGAAGAAGGGGAAGGAGAAGAGAGTGGGAGGAGGAAGAAAAAAAAGGAGAAATGAGAAATGGAAAAAGAAGGAGGAGAAAGAAGGAGAAAGAGAAGGAGAAGGAGAAAGAGAAGAGGGAGGAGGAACAGGAGGAGGAGGAGGAGAGGGAGGAGGAAAGAGGAGGAGAAAGGAGAAAGGGAAGAAGGGGAAGGAGAAGATAGGGAGAGGAGGAAGAAAAAAAGGAGAAATGAGAAATGGAAAAAGAAGGAGGAGAAAGAAGAAGGAGAAAGGGAAGGAGAAGGAGAAAGAGAAGAGGGAGGAGGAACGGGAGAAGGAGGAGAAGGAGAGGGAGGAGGAAAGAGGAGGAGAAAGAAGGAGAAAGAAGGAGAAAGGGAAGACGAAGAAGAGTGGGGGAGAAGGAAGAGAAAAAAGGAGGAGAAAGGAGAAAGAGAAGAGGGAGGAGGAACGGGAGAAGGAGGAGAAGGAGAGGGAGGAGGAAAGAGGAGGAGAAAGAAGGAGAAAGGAGAAAGGGAAGAAGGAGAAGACAGAGAATGAGAAGGGGGAACAGGAGGAGAAGGAGAGGGAGGAGGAAAGAGGAGGAGAAAAAAGGAGAAAGGGAAGACGAAGAAGAGTGGGGGAGAAGGAAGAGAAAAGAGGAGAAAGGAGAAAGAGAGGAAGGAGGAGGAGAAAAAAGAAGGAGAAAGGTATGAAGGAGGAGAATTAGAATGAGAAGGAGGAAGAGGAGAAGGAGGAAGAGGAGATGAGGATATACATGCAGAAAATGAATACAACCAGATGTCATTCTGCTTCTAATTCATCATGGACGGACTCTGGCTTACATAGCCAGCCAAATCTTGGTCTAAATCATTTACGACTATGTAAGTCAAGAGTTGGGAATGACAGGAGCTGCAGTTCTAAACCACCTTGAGGGCCACAGACGTCCCAGCCCTGAACGGGAGGCCCCTGGGTTGGCTTTGAACCCCCGCCCTGTCTCCAAGGGTGAAGAAAAGGCAGGCTCCCCCCCCCGCCTTCTACCTTACCTCGGCTGACCCGCTGCTTAGCTCCCGACAAGATGCCCGGCGTGTCAATGAGGCTGATGCTTTCGAGGACCTGGTTGGGCAAGTGGGCGCACATAAACCTGTAGAGAAAGAAAAGAATGGAATGAAATTCTATTTGTTCGGTTTTATTCAAGGCCTCCAGGCCGTAGAGTGCTTAGACCTGGCCCACGGGGACGCCCTGCAAAACAGCCAAAGACTGGCCCCTGGTGCCTCTGCCAGTGAAAACGGAGCTCGGGAGGGTCACCTGCGGCCCCCCGAGCTCCGTTTTTGCTGGCGGAAGGTTTGCAGGAGGCCATCCCAGCCGGAAACGGAGCTTGGGAGCCCATTTTTGCTGGCAGAGCCCTCAGACCATCACAGGCGCCTTCCCAACAAAAGTGATGTTATGCTGGCCACGCCCATCCTGGCCACACTTCCCCCCCCTCATCCCCTCCCCATTGGTCAAATACAACCCTGCTGCAGCCCTCAATGAAATTGAGTTTGACATCCTGCTCTAGAGTCATCTTTGACGAGAAGGGCGGCGTACAATTTTGATAATAAGATGATAGATAGATAGATAGATAGATAGATAGATAGATAGATAGATAGATAGATAGAGATAGAGATAGAGACCTAGATGAGATAATGATAGATAGATAGATGAGAGAGAGAAAGAAGAGAGAGAGGTGCAGATAGGGAGATAGGTAGGTAGGTAGGTAGGTAGGTAGATAGATAGATAGATAGATAGATAGATAGATGAGAGATAGATAGATAGATAGATAGATAGATAGATAGATGAGATATATAGATGAGATAGATAGATAGATAGATAGATAGATAGATAGATAGATAGATAGATAGATAGATAGATAGATAGATAGATAGAGATATATAGATGAGATAGATAGATAGATAGATAGATAGATAGATAGATAGATAGATAGATAGATAGATAGATAGATAGATAGAGATCGATAGATAGATGAGAGATAGAGATAGATGATAGACAGGCAGACAGACAGACTTCATCCCAAGATTGCCCCCCTTTTCTTTTGCAAAGTCCTGAAGACATGGTTCTGCCAACGGGCCTGGGGTCCCCAGAGTGAGATGGACCCCTCCCATCAAGTGGGTAGTCTGATTGTTGTCACCAGGATGGTGGGGAGGGGGTGCATTGCTTTTTGTGGTGGTGGTGGGGTTATCGTTGTAAGCAGCTCAGAGTCACCGTGAGTGATTTTGGGTGGCCATATCAATGGTCTTAACGGAGAAATAAATCTGTTTTTAAAGAATTCTATTTTTAACGGGAGGGTGGCTGTTTTAGCCGTCTGTGTATTGCTCTAAAACCGTCAGCAGCCCCCTGGGATTGGGATGCAGGGTCTGCATGCGATAAACACACCAGCAAACATTATTATAATGACAATCCCATATGGAGTTATTTTCCAAGTTGGAATAAAAGAGGAGGAGGAGGCATAATCAAGTTAGACCAAATCAGGCAAGAAAGGTAGTAAAATGGAGCAAAACTCACTGAACCAATGTCCCACTTAGCAGCAGAAAATTTTGGGCTCAATTGTGGCCGTAGGTTGAGGACTATCTGCATTTGAGGGGTTGCCACAAAGAAGAGGGGGAGGTCAAGCTATTGTCCAAAGCCCCTGAAGGCAGGTCAAGAAGCAATGAGTGGAAACTAACAAAGGAGAGAAGCAACCTAGAATTGAGGAGAAATTTCCTGGCAGTGAGAACAATTCACCAGTGGAATGACTTGCCACCAGAAGTTGCGAATGCTCCAGCAGTGGAGGTTTTTAAGAGGTTGGATTCAGGAGTGGTGCGGTGGCCTAGAGTGAAGCTCTCGCCTCACAATCAGGAGGCTGTGCGTTTGATCCTAGGTAGAGGCAGATATTTCTCTCTCCGGGTTCTCACAGTGAGAATATCTCTGCTGAACAAAACTCCGCATTGGCGACAGGGAAAGGCATCCAGCCAGTAAAACACTCTGCTAGATCCATTCAATTGCCCAGACTCTTCCCCGCAAGGGATTTTGGGGTCGTTAAAAGAAGAAGATGATGATGATTGAACAACACTTGTTTGAAATGGTGTATGTTCCTTGCCTGAGCAGGGGGTTGGATTAGAAGACCTCCAAGGTCCCTTCCAGCACTGTTATTTCTATTTATTTGTAGCATCTGGCAGTTTTGGCTTTCCTGCCCTTTGACAGCGCTACCTCGGCAGCTGAGATGGATCTCAGTTCTGCATTTTGGAAAGGAGCCACCCTCCTCCTCCTCCTCCTCTTCCTCTGTTACCCCACAAGCAGCTGTTCTTTCTTTATTAGCAGGGCTGAAGCTTCCCAGGAATTTTGGCACTGGGGCCTGCAGTTCCTTGAGCCCAGCAGTAGCAGGATAACAATTCCGATTCTGATTTCTCGTTGTTTCAGAAGCAGCGAGAAGATATCACAGACAAAAACTCCCAGTATATATATTTTGGCCAGCCCTTTTTCCTCTATCAGAGGGAGAAGTTCATCAGGAAAGTTTATCCACGTCAGTGTAAGGGACCTGCACGTTGTTAATTAATCTGCTTTTTTTTTTTTTAAAGTGTGTAAATCTAGCACCTCCATCACTGTCTGGTTTGGCTCTGCAACTCAACAAGACCGACATGGACTTCAGAGGATAATTAGAACTGCAGAAAAAACAAGGGATGCCAACCTGCCCTCAATTGAGGATCTGTTCACTGCACGGGTCAAAAAGAGGGCTGTGAAAATATCTACAGACCCCTCATATCCTGGACATAAATTGCTTCAACTCCTTCCATCAAAACGAGGCTATAAGGCACTGCACATCAGAACAACTAGACACCAGGACAGTTTTTTTCCCCAGACGCCATCACTTTGCTAAACAAATAATTCCTTCACCACTGTCAAACTATTCACTGAGGCTCCATTATTATTACTATTAGTCTTCTCATCGTTCCTATCCCCCATCTCCTCCCACTTATGACTGCAGGACTGTAACTTTGGTGCTTGTATCCTTACGATTTATATGGATATTGATTGTTTCCTGATTGCTTATTTGTACCCTGTGACTATCATTAAGTGTTGTACCTTAGGATTCTTGACGAATGTATCTTGTCTTTGTGTGTACACTGAGAGCATCTGCGCCAAAGACAAAATTCCTTGTGTGTCCCATCACACTTGGCCAATAAAAAAATTATGTTCTATTCTATTCTGTTCTATTCTGTTCCATTGTACATCAAGAGGATGGCTGGCAATTTTTGTGTTTTTTTTTTTCCACCTTCAACTACATCTGCCTCCCCACTGCGTATGATCCTTCAGTCTTCAAAATTCATCTCCTGTAATGCTTTCGTTAGGTCTAAATTCAATTTTGGAGTCCCAGCTGATAGTCCCTTTCGTGGGGGAAGTAGTAAAGCCAGAAAGAATGACAGCAACAGCTGCCAAATTTTTTGAGTGGGGCAAAGGGTGGAGTTGAAGCTTTTTTTTTTTAAAGTGCCTTGACAGAGGAAGAAGCCTAGCCTATCTAAACAAATATGCTAAAAATGGAGCTCTTGTGACACTAACCAGAGGCATCAAATCCCAGAGGTTGCCATTCTCCGGAGATCCCAAAGCTGCTTTTTCTTTTTAAAGGAAACTGGATATTGTTTTTCCTTGAAGACGTTTCTCTTCTCCTCCAAGAAACTTCTTCGGTTCTGACTGAATGGTGGAGGATGGAAGGATTTTTATTCCTTGCAGTTGTCTGGTCGTTGGCCTGCAAGGAATATATATATTGCTTCCATCCTTCACACTATGCTGACTCTGTAAACCGCTTAGAGAGGGCTATAAAGCACTGTGAAGTGGTATATAAGTGCTAATAATAATCCTAGGGATGGAAGAGATCTTCTAGTCTGACAACCGCCCCCCCCCCCCTTGCCCAGGGCAGGAGTCTTTATACCATCCTGGAATAAACGGTTGTCCATTCCCGTTCTTGAAAATATCCAGCAATAGAGCAGCCACAATTCCAGGAGGAATCTGCAGTCCCACTGAGGAATCGTTCTATCAGAAAATTCTTCCTTATTTCCAGATTGGCTCTCCCTCCCTCTGGCCAGCTTTCACCCATTGCTACTTGTCATGCCTTCAGGGGCTAAGGTGCGTTTCAGATGTGTTGGGACTCCAAATCCCACGTTCCGCAAACACATCGGTGGTGTAGTAGTGATGACCTGGTCATCTGCCCATCCTTTGCGCCCCATTTGACAGTCTGAGGCCTTCTGGCTTTAGAAGGATAACGCCGAGAGCCCATTTAACAGTTGCTATCAGGAAAGCTGGTTTTGGGTGTGGCACCGGAGTGGAGCTATAAGGTTTTAAAGCCCACACAGTCAGAAACTTCAATATGGCTCTGTCAATCTCTCCCTGCCTCATCGATGTGGTTGCGATGCCTCAAAATACCGCTTTTTAAGGCTTTGGTAAAACCGTACCTGGAATACAGCATCTGGTTTTGGTCACCACAATGCAAAAAAGATGTGGAGACTCTGGAAAGAGTGCAGAGAAGAGCAACGGAGATGATTAGGGGACTGGAAGCCAAAACATATGAAGAATAGTGGCAGGAACTGGGTATGTCTTAGTTTAATGAAAAGAAGGACTAGGGGAGACATGATAGCGGTGTTCCAGTATTTGAGGGGCTGCCACAAAAAAGGAGGGGTCCATTTATTTTCCAAAGCACACGAAGGCAGAACAAGAAGCAATGGATGGAAACTAATGAAGGAAAGAAGAAGAACCTAGAACTAAGGAGAAATTTCCCGACAGTGAGGACAATTAACCAGTGGGACAACTTTCCTCTAGAAGTTGCGAGTGCTCCAACACTGGAAGTCTTTAAGAAAACATGGGGCAGCCATTTGCCTGGAATGGAAGAGTCTCCTGTTTGAGCAGGGGGTTGGACTAGAAGACCTCCAAGGTCCCTTTCCAACTGTTGTTATTATTGTATTGTATTCTGGAGTGCTGGAGGCAATCACATCTGGCTTATTGGAAGCAGGGAGGAAGGAAAAGAGAAATACTACATTGGATTCGGCACCCTGGAAGGCTATTGGTGAGGTAAGCAGAAGAGTTCTGCGTGTGGATAATTTGTCCATATGAGGTCAGTACACGCACACACACACACGCACACACAAATTTTCCAGGTTCAGTGCCACGTGGCATACTGAAATTAATAAACGCCCTGTCCTGGAATGATGGATGTCCAGAACTTTGGTACACTTTCATTCAAAAGCTAGAACCTTCACAAATATAGAGGCCAATGGAAAGGAAGCGGTCACAACTTGAGGTACTCACCGGTTGAGGAAGGTGTTTCCAAAAGGGTTGAGTTTTCGGAAGGGCTTTTTGGGGTCAACAATCAGGGCATTGCCCGGTATGATCCCCTCCGTTTCGCCGTGCATGACAGCAATGAAAGAGTCCGTGGTGGGTTCAGGTCCGATTCGGCTCCCGGGGATATCTTGCTCCAGCAAGTATTTAATGAAGGTGGTTTTGCCGGTGGAGTACTGGCCCACCACCAATACCATGGGCTTGTTGTCAAAGTCGGCATCTTCCAGAGCCGGCGAGTGAAAATCGTGGAAGCGATAAAATTCTTCCACAGGTAGGAGCTTCCTCTTGTAGAGGTCTTTCAAACCCTCGGTAACCGTACGGATGACCTCGGGGATCTTCTTCTCGTTCTTCTTCATCCAGCTGAACATATTGGCCGCCCTGAGAACTTGGCACCCTGATGGCCTCCTTGGTAATAAATTCTAAACACAGGTGAAGGTACAGCTGGAAGCTTTGGCAGAGGGGACCATAGACCTCAAAGAGAGCTCGGTCTGGAATGTCAACAATGGGCAAGGCCCAACGATCAAGCCCAGGGACTCGATCCAGCTAAAATAGAAATTAAAAAAAATCTTAAGCTACCCAAGAGTATCCAGGAGGCTCATGGATCCTTTAATCTTTTAGGAATGCAAAGATCTCCAAAGTCGATGAACTTTTAGCGAGCCGGCTGTAGGAAGTCCAGCACTTACACTTGATTTCCTGGAGAGAGAGAGAGAAAATCTCTTTTGCAGGAGAGATCTTCGGTGTTGCTACAGCTTCAGGCTGGGAAGAGACACGGGCTTTGCGCTTTGGGCACAGGATTCCAGAAAAATCTGAGCAGGCAAAGGGATCCTTCTAGGTGAGGAATCACTGAGCTCCTTCAGCCTTTGGGTAAAATACGTCACTTTATTTTCGGAAAGGCTGTGGGAAGAGGCAAGCAGCCAGCCGAAAATATGTTGCAGACGAGGGCAGGCTGGGACACAAAAGAGCCACACACCGATGTCACTTTCGGATGGAAAAATCCTTCTTGGTTGTTTGTTTGTAGAAATCCTGATTTCCCCCCCCACCCTTTCCCTCCCCCCACTTCTGGGGTCCCAAAGAATATCTGAAGAGTCCTCTTGCCTGAAATGAAGTTGGCTGTCAAGAGGCGTGCAGGGCGAAGAATTGCATTAGCATAAATTATCTAGGAAGGGAGGAGAATGTCAGGATGGCCAAGAATTGGAGAATAACTAATGCGCAAAAAATGATGCACATGAAACACCCCCCCCCTTCCCCAAGTTAAAGGAATGTGGGATTGGTAGCTAAAGGCCTCTGATGCCACCGTGTGGTTTGAAGAGGAGAAAGTAAAAGTAACAGTAAAAGTGGTAGAAGAGGAAGAAGGATGGAAGCTTGATTTTTTTTTGTGCAAAGAACTGTACATCAAAATGGGTTTCACAGAATCTGTATACGCACAGACACACATACACACGGCTGTGTGTGTGTTTGTGTATGTTCCAGCATAACTCTGGAACGCCTAGAGCAATTTCAACCAAACTTGGCACACAGATGACTTACCCTCTGGAAACAAATACTGTGGGGTAAAACACCCCTAGGAGTGTGTGTTCTGTTATGATACAGCCTGTTGTGTCTTCAAATGGATTCTACTGTACTGCCGTAAAATGGCTTCTACTGCACAGTGCAGTGGGGTTGGTAACAACTTCACAGTACTCCACAAGGGGGCTCCCTCTGGTAAGGGGGCGAATCCAACATTAGAACATCTCTTTCTCAGATAGAAGGTTGAAGCCTTCACAGCAATCCAACCACAGATCCACATTCAGAAAACAACCGATGAAGATTGTGGAGTGTTCTCAGCTGGGAATGTTTGCACATCAAGCAGATGTTAATGGGAAGATACCAACCTGCCTCTGGAAACAGATTCCAAGGATGCAAATTGCAGTAATAACAGTGGTTTAGTGGATTTATTAATATTCCCCAGCAATTCCCTTCACCAAAACCCCAGAACTGTCCCAATGTCCCAATTACATCCAGCCAAAAAGCAGACTGATACTAGACCACAGAGCAATGGCCAACGAGTCCGCAAAGCACTTGAAAGTTTCCCAAATAAGCGAAACCCCAAATTTTGGACACAATGTATTATTGCCACAAACTGTGATTAGTCGCATATAATAGAAGAACCAAGCTTTTCTTTTCCTTTTTAGTTTGGTTTACAATTTAAATAGAGGTTTTGCCTTCCGGTGGTTGCATTAAGGTCACGGTTGTTCTTTGTATAAGACCCGAGCAAAAGTCTTTCTCGGTGAACTTCTGGTTATTTCCAAAGCACTTTTTCTTTCGTTCAAGAAAAGCCAAGGCAATTTCTGTACCATTTTTAAAAAGAGCAATTTAATTTACACAGAAGTACTAAATGTACATAATTCTTTTAAAAAATCGTTATACACAATAAATACAGTACAAAATTATTTTATAGTACTATATTTTGCTTTTTTTTTGAACTGTGATGTTCAAACTGGTACCAGCAGGAGGAAAGAAAGAAAATTGGTTATTTCTTTCTGTCTATGGAGATATTTTTTTGTTTTGTTATTTCTTTCAAATATTAAAACAAGTGGGGTATTACTTTTGGCTTCCTGTTATAGGGAAACTCTTCCTGTTATTTGGTTGTATTGGGTAGGAAAGTAGAAAGAGCTGGAAGAATGTAAATGTATGTTCTTAATTTTTAAGTGTCCTTTTAGAACGATCCTCTCAAAGCCACTTAAGATCAAAATTGGGGATTAATTGAACTTAGGCAGGTGGAACCTTCCCAAAAGTTGTGATCTATCTCTCTCCTTTTTCCCATAACCCTCTCTTTCACACACACACACACACACACACACACACACACACACACACACACACTCTCTCTCTCAGTAATAGCAACACCTGGCTGGCTGTATGACCAACCATAATAATAATAAAATAATAATAATAATAATAATGAAACTTTAAGCGCAAAGAGATGGGAATTTCTCTTCTGGTTTTGTGCCTATGAAAATTAAGCCGGGGGGGGGGGGAACACACCCCACAATCACTTTGTTCAAAATACTGGAAAAGGTGTTACACATACTTCTCCATAACAGTGCACATTAATTCATTACTAGGTTTTAATTGGAAGGGAAGAACTTTCCCACACAAAAACAAACCCAACGGCAACCAGAGTCGCTTTGGGTGAAACAGGTGGCTATACAAATTTGATTAATAAATAGATTAAAAACCAAATGAGCTATCATCCCAAATCTACACTTTTTAAAAAGAAGGAAAACAGAAAAAGGATGCTAAACAAAAAGCCAAACAATTTCATATACATTTCTCTCTCTGTATTTGATATAACCATCAACATCCCTTTTATTGCTTACTAACCATTTGTTATTCCCCCCCCCCCCACGCCCGCCACGGCACAGGAATAAGGTTGAGAAACCATGGTCGCACTGTAACTTTAGCAAACAATGTTTTTCACAAACACCAAATCTGATAGTTTGGGATGCTCTTTTTGGACAACGGTTTTATTACGGGAGCATCCAAAGCAGCCTTTCTTTGAATTCAGTGGAGGGAGGAACTGCGTGTGTGGCTCCATTGCACATGTGCTGGTAAAACCTATGTGTACAGGCATGGTCTACCTGGAGGGCACTGGATCACAGACCGCACGAACGTATTGCTAAGAGCAACTTCCTTCCAGAAGGCGAAATGTCCCACCATGGAGAGCCACTTTAGAAAGGGGGGGGGAGGACGGAAGAGGAATAACCGCTGGACAAGTGCTTTCGGAGCATGGACGAAAAGCTTCCTCACCTTAACAAGAAAGGTACATCGCAACACATGTCACCTTACAAAATAAAAAGCCAAAAATTAAAAGAAGGAGCGATACTATTCAATTGCACACGGCTACAAATCATAAAGAGACAAGGACACAGTAGAGTTCTCGGACATATTCCCTCAAGACAGTTTTCAGATTGGGGATTCAGGAGAATTGTTATCTTTTCAAGATGATCAGGAGCCCGATCCAGCAATCCTGCCTGCAAATTCTAATATAAGCACAACTTCATATGCGCAAGGCACTCATCGAAATGGAATACACAAAGCTGGGAAGATGCTCTGTGTGTGTGTGTACAATTTGTTAAGCAAGTCGGAACCCTTTGCAAAAATATGACAAAGAGATTTGGATATACAAAAATGTAGACCTCTTAACTCCTCCCCCCCCCTTTTTTGGTTCTGTTATTTTCCTAACTTAATTTTTAAGGTCCAAAATATCCCACGACAGCACACCACGAGACAGAATTAAATTTGAAAGGAGATGGAACTGATGCTAATGAATAGTCTTGGGTCCACAACAATTTCTTTTGAGCATTTTCACGTTGTATATTTTAGGGTTAGATGGACAGCTGATATGGCCCTTATCTTTGGAAGTTAGTGCATGGTAAGGAATGGCAAGAGGCAAAATCCAGACTTCAGAAAAATGAACACAGGTGTTAGTTATACTGTATAATGAATAGAAAGGATCTGGAATAAGAAATGAAATGCAAGGTGTTACTAAAGGGGTTATAGAACCTGATCTCTGAGGGAAAACATATATAATTAAAATAGGCCTAAGTTCACTCCTTTTTTCATTTAGTTAAATGTACACACACTGCTTGGTCCTCTACCTTTGAATTTTAGAATTGTGTAGGTATCTATCAAATATGCTTTGAAGCTGACTAGCTATATTTAAAATATTTGTATGATAATAAATGTATATTCAAGTAGGCTTGTGGGCACCAATTCATAAAGGAGAAGGAGACAATAATAAAATTTAATAAAGCAACATACACCTATCAGAGAACAAGGATGAGGCAAAATTGCTCAGATCACCTCTGTCCACACAAGTGGAAATGCTGGCTGGGAAATTCTGGGAATTGAAGTCCAGACATCTTAACATTGCCAAGGTTGAGAAACACTGTCTTAAAAGAACTAGTCTTCTTGAAAGCATCAAAACCACAGTATTATACGAATGTATGTATGTATCTCTGTGTTTAAACAAACTGATCATTATTTCTTAAATGGATGTACCAAATGAACACATGGAAGATATTAAGGCTTTATTTGTGCTTGTCATTTGGAGCGGGGAAAAACCAGCAAAAGGAAAATGCTCAAAGTGTTAGGTTTTCTGCACCTAAAAGAGGTGAACTCATTCACGGTTCCAATTGCCAAATCATTCTGATGAGTTGGCTTTAAGAACATGTGTTTATCCATTTTTGAAGATTATTTTTAGTCTTTTAAAAGGAGCATACCCAATTTTGCCAAATGATATCTGAAAATAGGTGGTTGCTTTGTTATTTTGATATGAAAATTTGTTGTATCTATGGATTTCTCATTTTTGCACCCTTCTCTCCAAAAAGTGGGAGAATTTGTTTTTTAAATGAAGTTTAACATTTCTCAGGATATTATCTATGTTTGGGCAGGCCAGAATGAGACAAGGAGAAGAAAAGTATCAAAAATACATTGTTTTATAGCTGCCTGCAAAACAAAACTCCACTAAACATAAAAAGGAGAGTGAAAGAATCTAGAAAATATCTGCAGCAGATTTGGATGTGGAAATTAAGCTTATTTTTTTTTCTTGGAAAGAAATGGAGAGTAAATGAAAGGTTTACAGCAATGGCTAAATACAGTTCCTTTGGCACATTTCCAAAAAGACAACTTATCCGCAAGTTGAACATTTTGGATTTTGCTTCTTGATTTAACTTGTGGGACAAGAAATGTGAAACTTGAAGTTTGATGTCAAGAAAGTACCTCTTCATTCTCATGCAGGTAGTGGGGGGTGGGGTGGGGGATGCAATGCCACCAATTCAATTTTGCAGTAGCAGTTTTGCAGCCTGTTACTAGGCAGTTCTGGCAGTGACGGTTGGCAAAGACAGCAGCACCAGCTGCTTTCCGAATTGGGTGGAAGGTGGCACATAAGCCTTTCAATTTCAGATAATATACAAATGTGGGGAAAAAGAAAATGCAAACTGAAGGTTAATGGTTGCTGAAAGGGGAACACGT